CAATCGTTAGTGGAAGTCTTGACGGGGAGGTCAAGTGTTGGAAGGTCTCCATCACCAAACCGGATAATAATTCAGTTTACAAAGATATCGTTTCATGAATTTTTCATTTTTTTAATTATTACTTTATGTCTTCATTACTTGTTTGGCGAACAACAATTGGCGTTTTTTAACCGTCACTTTATAAAAATGAGATTATTGCAGTACGTGCCAGAAGAGTGTTATATATGTGTTGCATAAGCAAATGTTAGTAATAATGCTACAACAATAATAAGGTCATTAGTGGTTTAATAAAATGAATTAAAACTGTACAAGTGGACTGTGGATGCACCTGCACATGTTTTTTTGCGTAAAAACGAAGATGCTGAACTTGCATGTGCCATCTTGAAACCTGGGGAAATCTATGTGGGTGATGATAAATTTATGACATTTTATGTATTAGATTCCGTATAGGTTTGTGATTGGTTGTCAGACAAAATAGACTTTTAACTTATGTTTGGACTATTTAGATGTGAGTACATTATAAATATTCGCATGCAAAAGTTCATGAACCTTACTGAGATTTCAAGACAAATCGGTTACGTCTAAACAAAAAGTCAAATGGCCCGTGGATGGATAAGACATTTCTTCTAACACTAGGATAAGATTAATATAAGACTAGTGTTTATTTTTACTAACTAAGATTTTCTAAACTGAAATTATGACTATTTTAAATTTTAACGTCTAAAATGGACAAACACATGTGCGATTAGTGGGATACAAACTAAGAAGAGATATGAGTGAGTTGGAGTTATTCTAATTCATAATTAACACCTAGTAAACTCGTATGATAGCCAGTAACTTAACTAAAAAATGGGAGACTAGTCCAATGAAAAAGGTCTCAAACTTTTATACCAGTGAGTGGATAAGATTAAATTATTGGTTATCAGTTGCAGACTGTTATCCATTAATTGGAAGTACACAATGCAAAATTTTCTTATAATGAAAAATCTCTTTCATAGTTTCAAAAAAAAAGGAAAAATGTCTTTCATAGATTGACCACATAAATGGAATTGAAAATTCTATTATAAAAAAAAAACAAATTACAGTACCAAATCATTTTCATAGGAAAAAATACTTGAAAAAATAATACAGAAAAAGAGTTGGAAAAGCCGAGAAAGAAAACAAGGGGCGGACTTATAAAAACAGGACAAATATGGATCACATTAAATGCAACTTGTAAATAGCTCTACAGAAATAGCATCACATATTAATTATCTTTGGTCAAACAAGTACAGTTTTGATTCGTTGTCATCTAACATGTTGACTTATTACCAAAACACATTTTAATATTGTTACCAACCAATCAACCATACTGGAGTCCGACTATAGGGACGTCGCCATTACAACCTATTGGTTATAGAACAATAAATTTCCCATAGTATTTCTCACTATTGGTGGCATATGAAAATATAATCAACAGTTTTATGAACTTTGCAATTGATTTGAAGAAGCTCTTGTAACGATGACATATATTTACTATTCTGCAACTCTGCAAGTATCGTATCTAGCAAGATGTTTTGTGCATTGCTCAATGACAACTTACATGTCCAACAGTGAGCTTCACTGGATGGAAAACTTATGATGTTAATGGTAAAGATTCAGCCACCACCACATCACTTTAGGGCTTCAACACTATCAGCATCCGAATTCCGAAAGTTGATTGTCAATCTTTTCAAAGTTCCTCATTTTCCTCTGAACAAATTTGAGATTACTCTTGAAACAAAAGTAACTGATTTTCATTTTGTATCCGATTTAAGGGAACACATCCCCATTATCAAACTGAACACGTCTTTTGTGATATGACCCAACAATGTATTATGTATATATATTGCCCTTTCCGCATAGGGTGACGACCCAATCAATAAACAATGTGGACTACAACTAGTGAATTTATAACTATGGCACTTTGATTACGCACGTCAACACCCGTATCTCATTGACACATTGTAGCTAGGGGCCTCTTGAAAGATAATTCAGAGGTCTTACCACAATGCAAATCACAAGGTAGGCAGTTTAATTTCATTATCTAAAATACCAATTATAAATGTGTATATATATGCATTATATATATATATATATAACATATACATAAAAAGATGTTTTCTTTGTAATTTTACATATAATTCCTTGCACATATATATAAATTATTTTAAATTTTGTATAACTAATCATATTATAGTTTTTACTATTTTCTACTACTGAGATGTATAGTCAGATATAAATACATAGCCTGCACATCACATATTTTAGAAAGAAATGGAATGAGAATACCCATCTTGTGTGAAGTGGATATACTTGAGACATACAGTGGTATGTGTACGTGACCGTGAGAATGAAAAGTAGACATGCAAGTTGCGAAAGTTGGGCTCGTCGTTTTATTACCAAAAGCTCATTTCTCATCATGATATACTCCTTTTTCTATTCACGGATTGATATTAATCTTACAATTGAGTGGCCCAAACTTTAGTTTTTTCTCTATTTAGTGGAAAAGATTGCTTTCTGATTACGACCTTACACCAAAAACTTGAGGATTGGCTGAGTTCGAATATAATTGTTGAAGTTCATGGATCCCTTAAAGATCACATCATCTCGCAAATGTATGGATTCATCCTGTGTATCTCGATTACTGAAGGGTGATCTAAGGTGACAAGTAATATAAGTGTATATCTATTTTTAATATTAATGTTACGTCATACATGCATATAAATCAAATGTTATCATGGACTACCCCGTGGTGTGTGCTGTCTCGCGATTCACGACCTCACAAGCCAAGTTTAATAAGTCTACTATAACTATTTAACGAAAAGGAATATAATAGCTTATAAATTTCAAGTCACTACATTTTATGCACAAGTGGGCGGATGCATGATAAAATATTAATATGCATGCCCTTTTAAAAAAAGTGCAAGTATGAGCGTTGACCGTTACAAGTAGCAACCATTTGATTAAATATGTTTGACAAAAAATGAAACGATAATGCACTTCACATCGCCGTTGAAAGTGTAATTATTTAATAATGATTTTGTTGAGATAAAGATACCATATTGAAAACATAATGAGATTTAAGTAATATATATTTATATATAAATGACTTGGATCAGTCTACTAATTATCAATTAATTTTAAGTTAAAAACTCAAAAAATTTATCATGGTATTAAAACGGAACCATATCCTGACCCATTAATCCGATTGGGACAGTGATCTAATCAACCCATTAACTGATGGTCTATCGAAAACTTAGTTTTCCGAGATTGATAAAAAAATAAAGCATTGTCTCAGAAAGGTAAGATAAACCCAAAAAACTTATCATTTTCATGAGTTAGTAGGCCATGTCCAAATATTTTTATCAAACATATATATTTATCTGATGTGTTAAATTACAAAAAAAAAAATAAGGACCCGAGTTATGTAAATATTCAAAACTAAGTAAGGGCCAAACTTAAATAAATTATGCAATGGCCGAAATTATGGTGAGGAATAAGTTGATCCAACGTATTGGCCAATTGACTACCTCATTATACACTTCAATTTAGTTACAGAACGTAGGAGAAACCGATTCTTCTAAGGACAAGAACACTATTTCAAAGAACTGGTTATGAAACAAAAAGTCCAACGAGGTAGAAATGGAGAGCGCTGAAATGAACTCGTTAAGAAGGAGAAATGGTAAAAACTTAACTCCTTGACATCTCAGATGAAGTGAAAATATACGATGAATCCACGGGGTCATTTAAAAGTTCTAGTTACACGATAACTAGATTTGAAAGTTGAATATAGAAAATCACAAAAGAATAATTAGAAGTTTAGAAAAAAGGGTTCAAGAAGCCTTGAAGGGTTGGATAATCTTTATAAACACTAACCATAATTTGGAACCCCGCTCTCCTCAGAGTTGGTCTTGTTGTAACCACTATCTAATACTCTCAACGGTATGTCATGATCTGATACAAAACCATACTCTATTAAGGTCGATCTCTATTAGATTAATTTTCCACTATTTCCATTGAAATGTAGCTTTAAACAGTATCAGATTCAACCTCTACGTACAAATGTTAAAGAATGTGGACCTTCTTCTCATTAAACCCTCAAAAAAGTGAACCATAATTAACTAATGTCTACTTCCTTCGTAATGCCTATGAAATTTAAAGCCATATTACCATTTGCGTCCATAGTTACATCATTGATGATATTTTGCTGAGAGTAGAAGATTTCTAATTTAGCTTACGCCTTTCTCTTTAAGTGGTTGGGAGTTAGAACCTGCCAGAAAAAACAAAATCATTTCTAATTAATATATATGTCTCAGAAACAAGACATGTATATTTTTCTTGAAAGTTCATGTGAATATTCAAGATGGAACTATATATTTATTGGGGTTTAAGGGTATGAAACGGGAATTACATAGTTTGAAGGTCATGAAATGTTTGGTGATACATCATACATGAGCAATACTGTTTCCGACTCGTTACATATATATTCCACGAATCTTGTAATAAAGGTAACTGTGGATGAGATGTATGAAACATTTTTTGGTGAGTATATGTAGAAATGCGTTTGTTGTAACATAACAATCTAAGGCGTATAAGTTTCAAAAGAAAAGAATCGAAGACGTATAGATAATTAAATTCGTTCTGCAGTAAACATTTGTTTATAAATTGCTCGATACAAATCAGGATAGTTGATAAAATCAGCAAAAGCTTACATTTTTTTGTGAAACACAAGAGGTTTTGATACTAGATTAACATTTTGTGATAAGCTATATAATCAATAACCTGCAACAGCTAACCTCTCTATTATGACAAGGATTCCTTATTCAGAAAAAGCTACATAGCCACAAAGTTAATACAGCTTAGTAGGGAGACTAATGAAGTTGGTGTGATCAATTAATAAAACTGGTTATATTTATGTCTCTTGCCATACTAATTCTACATTTGCAAACTCATCCCCAAAAGCTTAATTTTTTGTGTTCATGGAGATGAGCTTGTTGATTTCTGCGGTGGAATGGGTATACACTCATATAAAGTTCTCAGACGTGGTTTTAGCCCTAATAGGGTTTTTTCTTCTTAGTTACTTGCGTGAGAAGTTACTGAGCAAGGGAGGTCCAGTGATGTGGCCAGTGCTGGGAATCACACCGATGGTAGCGTTAAACAAAGACGATCTGTTAGGTTGGTGCACGAGAGGCTTGGTCAGAGCAGGAGGGACGTTTCATTACAGGGGAATTTGGTTCGGTGGGTGTGGGTCCTACGGTATTGTGACAGCAAATTCTGCAAACGTCGAGCACATTCTCAAAACAAATTTCAAAAACTACCCGAAGGGGGAGTATTATAGAGAGAGGTTTCTTGAACTTCTTGAAGATGGGATCTTCAACGCTGATGATGAGCTTTGGAAGGAAGAGAGACGTGTGGCTAAAACTGAGATGCATTCTTCACGTTTCTTGGAGCACACGTTTTGTACTATGAGAGATTTGGTGGAGCTGAAGCTGGTGAAACTGATGGAGAAGATGGCTACTTCGAAGAGAGTTTTTGATCTGCAAGACGTGCTCTTGCGTTTCACCTTTGATAACATATGTATCTCGGCCTTTGGGGTTGATCCTGGATCCTTGGCCATGGACTTACCGGAGATTCCTTTCGCTAGGGCTTTTGAGGAAGCTACGGAGTATACGCTCGCTAGGTTTCTGATGCCTCCTTTTGTGTGGAAGACAATGAGGTTTCTAGGGATAGGGTTTGAGAGAAAGCTGAAAACAGCGGTTAGAGTGGTTCACGCGTTTGCTAATAAGACAGTGAGAGAGAGGAGGAACAAGATGAGGAAACTCAGGAGCTTGAACGATTCATATGATCTCTTGTCACGTCTTATGCAGAGAGAGTACGAGAAAGAAGAAGGGAACTACTTTTCAGACAAGTACTTCAGAGAGTTCATCACAAGTCTCATCATCGCGGGTCGAGACACCACATCTGTGGCTCTGGTGTGGTTCTTCTGGCTAGTTCAAAACCATCCCCAAGTCGAGAAGAAAATCCTAAGTGAAATCAAAGAAATACATGGGAAACTTGCGTACCAAGAAACCAATGAACCATTCAAGGTACAAGAGCTTGATGAAATGGTGTATCTACAAGCTGCTTTAACAGAGTCACTGAGGCTTTACCCTTCAGTACCAATGGAGATGAAACAAGCTTTAGAAGACGACATATTACCTGATGGGACGAGGGTAAAGAAAAGCGCTAGGGTTCACTTCTCCATCTACTCAATGGGGAGAATGGAATCCATTTGGGGAAAAGATTGGGAAGAGTTCAAACCAGAGAGATGGATCAAAGAAGGAAAGATTGTAAGTGGAGATCAGTTCAAGTACGTTGTGTTCAATGCAGGTCCAAGACTTTGTGTTGGTAAGAAGTTTGCTTACACACAGATGAAAATGGTGGCTGCAGCTATCTTGATGAGGTACAAGGTCAAAGTCGTGGAAGGACAGAACGTTGTTCCCAAGCTCACCACCACATTGTACATGAAGAACGGTCTGCTTGTTACCCTCCAGCCCCGCTACGGGTAACCGGGATAAGGTTAGTTCAAAACCAAGCCTAAGTATTTGGTTTATCGGTATGAGCAAATTAAGTGTTCCTAAATGAAACTAAAAATGTGTGTTTAAATCAATATATATGTGTTCTATCATCAGTATAAACTAATGTTGTTACTAAATGCTTTTCAGAATGAAGTTTTAGTTTGGTTTGGACTTAATGTCCACTGCACCTTGTTCAATAGCAAGACTTGCATGACAAGATAATTATGTTACCATCATGAAAACAACCTAATAATAATCTCTATAAAGAAAGCATTATAGGCAGAAAAAAAAAAAGAATAGCAAAACCAATGACTTCATTCTCTATTCAATCCAGTAGAGCATTGAGAATCCGAGAAAAAAAAAAAATCTGTATCTCTCTCTACATAATAAGCCACTCCTAATAGAGCTTGATACGAATAGCAATAGAGACGCGGCAAATGGGACATGTTTGAATGTTATTTCCACACTCGTCGCAAGTCTGATGTCCACAGTTGAATGCCATGTTCTTTGCATTAACCAAACAGATCGGGCAAACCTGATAATTTTGATTGAAAACACAATATGGTTAAGTGATTTGTTTAATATAATAAAAATGGTTTCCTCAATTGTCAAAGACATAAATACAAACCTGGTTCTCGTTACTACCAGCCGGTGCAGAGGCAACACTGCTTGACCTGCAGGAACTTGTCGAGCTGTTGCTAATAGATCGATTGTGACCACTTACTGGTGGTGGACGAGCAATCGTCTTTGGACAGTTTCCAGTTCTTCGTCTGTAAAAATTTTGGAAACAATATATCATCTTTAGTTGCCTTGTTAAATAAAGCAGAGAGCTACTACATAAATTCTAGAAATTTACCCGAGTAAGCCGAGTTCGAGAGTGGCCTTATACTGACAAGGGATCTCCATCAAGGCTGAAGCTGCAAACTCTGCTTCTTTTTTGCCATCATCAACGTTCTTCCCCATAATCTCCGTGAAATTCACAAACTTGAAAAAAGAAAAGAAAAAAGAAACTGTAATTAAGTTAATGACTTGCACCAAGACAAAAGAGTGATCTTTGTATTTGTCTTTGAGTGGCATATTACCTGGAAGTTGTCAAAGGCACGAGCAGGGATGTTATCATCAAACTGTCTCATTGTATCCCAAGGACCATCTCCCACACCAACCAGAACTATCGATAATGGATACCGACTGCAAGAGAAATTACTTATAGATCATCACAAGAAGTCACTAATTAATCATTATCATCATCTAAGCAAGAAACAGTTTTTTACCTTGCTCTAACTATAGCATCAATGGTCTTACGTTCTTGTGGACTGACTCCACCGTTCTGTGCGTCAAAACTTTGCGTCACCTAACAAACAACGTAATCTATTTAATAAACCTAACTAACATCATAATGATCGTATCCAAAAAAACACAAAGACTTTTACTTTTACCTGTCCATCAGCAATGATGAGAAGAACATGGTACTGCCCTCCACTTACTTCCACAATCGTCATAGCCCTTTCGATAATGGGTGCAAAAGAAGTCGGCCCTGTGAGGAACCAAAGATCATGTAACAGAAGAAACTCACAAGCATAATTAAAAAGAGTTTTCTTTAAAAAAAATCTCAAAACCTGCAAGACGTAGCTGAGGAACAATCTCTCTGTAAAGCGCAAGGACTTCTTCAAACCCGTTACAGAATGCATCATCCGGAAAGAAACTGAATACATGCTGATCATGTGTTGTAGCTACAAGAACCAACCACATAAATTAAAAATAACCATTAGTTCTCTATATATGTCTTACAAAAGAATTAATAATGCAGCAGAAACATTAATTACCATCTCCGAAACCATAACAAGGGATCAAATTGTCTTCATCAAAAGAAGATAAAGTCTTTCCAATGATTGAAATCGCTTGCTCGTACGGGTTTGGCGTTGGTCCTATGGCATGTAAGCTCTTCCCGTCGAATGATCGCTCTCCTGTCAAAAAAAAAAACATACAAATAAGTCAATTATATTTAACATTAAAAAGTTAAACATTCGAATAAATGGATTTTCACCTGTCCACTCGTTGGACTTTGTGACATCTATACCAACAATCAGATTCGATGATTCCAAACCGGCTTGTAAAAGAGCAGCAGTAACCTATTATCATCATAACCGGTACATTCAAGAAACCGATCAAGAAAATAAAATAAAAAAAAACTCTCAGAGAATGTTGCATTGATTAATGGTTACCTCATCAATGGAACGGTAGTTATCGCCGATGAGTGAATACTTTTTGCTATTCTTTTGTGGGGTGCTGTTTTGGTGAGGTTGCTGCACCAAAGTCGAAGAAGAAGACGAACTTTGAGAACATCTCTGACTCTTCGAACTGCTACCTCCCATCTGATAGATATTTAAACAAACACTTTTACATGTCAAATCTCAAGTTTTGACTTTGTTGGTTAGGTTAAAGTAAGAACCTTTATGGAAAAAAAAAGAATCGCTTTCGAAGACTGATCATGACGTGTCACCGTGGAAGAAGGAACGATTTAAAACGGTAAATATAAAAAGATCCAAACTTTGCTAGTGGAATCGTAAGAAAGAAGTCAAAGAACGATAAACGATTTGTTACCTTTCAATCAATTGCGTCTCTGAATCTGCTGCTTCTGAGGGATTGTTCTTGTTACGTTAAATCCCCAGTAAAACACGATTCCGGATTTTTAGGGTTAATATCCATATATATATATATATATATATATATTACTGCTTTCCATTTTTATTCTCTAGATTTTTTGGGCAATTATCTCAAATAGCCAATTTTCAAGTTTTTATCAAAAAATAGACATCAAAAATTAAAATGACCAAAATAACATTTTTTTTAGTTTTTTTTTCATTTTTTTAAATTTGAAACCCTATCCCAAAACTCCATTCCTCAACTCTAAACAAAAAAATTTAGGATTAGTTAATCCAAGGACTATAAATGTATATTTAATAACACATTTAAGTGTTATTTTTGTCATTTTAATTGTTAAGGTCTATATTTGTGACAAAAACTTTTTAAGTCTATTTTAGTCATTTTCTCTTTTTCTTTTGGTATTGTTATATATTTTTAATTGACTAATATCCTTGTCAACAATATCATCGGAGTTGATTATCAGTTGAACTTAGCAAATCTTTTTATTTTTTTTTATTTTTTGAACAAACCTTGGCAAATCTCAAGTATCTACTACTCCCTCCCTTTTTCGTGGTTTTAAGTTTTTGCATACAAATTAAAAAATAATTAATTTACATATTTTTAAGATAAAAACTCAATTATCTATATATGTAACCATTTTTCGACCAATAGAAAAATAGAATAATAAATAAAATTAATAAATTTTATATTAAAAATATGAAAATACACTTGTTCTGAAACAAAAATTTTCTCAAAAAATGATAAATAACTGAAACGAATGGAGTAATATTTATTGGAATATTATTTAAAATCATCTTTTTAATTTAAATCATATTTATCTAAATTATTTGATGTTTTTTAACTTTTAATTTATTATTTAACGAGTTTGAAAAATACTTATGCAGAATCTTTTATTTTATTGACGTGTTGTTGCGTGGACAATTTGAGACTTTTTTCCGTTGCTATTCGTAATGTTATTTATTTAAGAAAATAATTAATTTTAGTTAGTACACAATTTTTACAATTGCGCTATCGGAATTTAGAATCGATAGAACAAATATGATGATATTGGACATACTAAAACGTATTAATGGCACGAAGTATGAACGACTAATCTAGTACATAAAACTAGGTGGCTTTCTGCACCATGTGCAGAAATAAAAATTTTAAAAATAAATTTAAATTTAAAAATAAAATTTAATTAATTTTTAAATTTCTTATTTTATTACATTATTAATTTTATATTAATTATATGTAAAAATTAAGAGAAAATAAAGAGTTTTATTTAAATATATGACAGGTCTCTCAAATAGAACTTTTTAGGTTTTTTCACAAAAATAGATCTTAAAACTAAAATGACTAAAACATCAATTTTTATTTTGAAAATTTCATTTAAAAAAAAAAAAAATTTGTAATCCTATCCCCAAAATCCCATTCCTCAACTTTAAACAAAAAAGTTTATGTTTAGTTAACCCGAAGGATATAAATGTATATTTACTTATTTTTGATAAAACATTTAAGTCTATCTTGGTCATTTTTATTTTGAGGTCTATATTTGTGATTAAAACTTTTTTTTAGGTCTATCTTAAATTTTTTTTAAAAAATTATATTTAATAATATATATGTATCTTTTATCTTTTGGTTAAATTATATTAAATCAGATTCAATACTATTAAGAGAAAATTTTGTTAGATATATAATTATCAAAATATAAAACTAAAAAATATTTATAAAATTTATAGATGTTATAAATAAAGATAATGGTATTGGATTAGAAAATTTTAATTTTAAAAAATACTGCATAAAATTTTGATTAACAAATTTATTAATAAAAAATATATAATTATAAATATACACTTAAAAATATTTCAATATTTGTAATGTTATTATATTTATATTTATACTATTATTTATTTATTATCTTAATGATAATTTACGAATTCTTTTTCTTATCACTATTTTAATACAAATTTTTGTTTAATCAAACATAAAAAGTAATATAAAAATATTTTTGTTTATTTTAAATTATATTTAAGAATATGAATGTATATATTTAAAATTATAATCTTAGATAATTTTTTATCTATTTATTTTAATTAAATATATTAAATAAATTTATAGAAAATTTTATAATTATCAAAAATTAAAATTAGACAATATTTATTAAATTTTTAAATATATAAGAAATTAATAATTTTAGGATTAAATTTTAATAATTTTCAAAAAATGTATACATTTTTGAAATTTTTGTAATAAAATTATATAGTCTTAAAATATATAATTAAATGATATTTTCGAAATTTTTAATGCCATATTGGTAAATATTTATTTTAATGATGATTTATTAGTTATTACCATATTTTAAAAATATTTCCAAAAATATAAATCGACAGTAAATGTAATATATGAGTTGTTACCATATTCTATAAAGTTTTTCAAAAATATATATTAACATTAAATGCAATTGTCCATGTCATATTTAATCATATGCCATGTCATCAATTCTATTAGTTATGTCATCATTTTTTTGTGAAACTGATTATAGAGAGGACATGTGGCAAAATCACTTCACAAATAATGTATAGGAGATTGAACATATAATCTGGTTTATGTGTATTTCTATAATATTGGACATTCTAAAATGATCAATCCAATCAAGACATACTAGTTCTTGCAACCCAAGAAAAGTCGTTGACAAATGTACTTTATAAATACACAATAAAGTCTTGATATTTACCAAAAAAATCAGTGTTGACATGCGCATCTTAATATAATCAAAGTTGGATACTGAATTACTGGTATAACGGTCGAACCCGGGAGTAAAATCAGGATTTGGCTTTGGTTCAAATTATGTGACTTAACATAAGATCAGAGAATCATGATTTAGCACTTTAAGTTAGACAAAACATTAGTGTTAGGCTTTGACAAGATCCACCTGACTCCTCTAAAAGCAATTTCAAACGGGCCTATTTTAACAAACGGGCCTAAAAATAATAGAAAAGTGGGCCTACCAAATACTTTCATTAATGAATAAATCTTATATATTAAAAGAGAAGTTATGACTTCTCTTCATGTGTGATTTTTTTTTTAAAATGAACCATCTAATAGAATTTATGACATTACATTATTCAATCATTAATAACATTCATTAGATTCACTAATAACATTTATTGGATTTACTAGAAATTTTTATTGGGCTAATAAAAATTAGATGATCCATTGGATTTATAGATATTATAATAAAATACATGTTTAAATTAAACTTATATAATTTAATATTGTAATAATACAAGTTAATTATTTATATATTTTTGATGTTAACTTTAAAAATTATATAGTTTATTTTTAAAAATAACAAAATCATCATTTTCTAACAATAATTAATCTATATTATATAGTAATTAATCATCATTTTCGATATACACACCTTATATAATATATATCAATTTAGAAGTAAAAAAATGTTTATATAAAAATAAATGAAAACAAATACCCGCGCGGTTGCGCGGGTTAAGATCTAGTCTTATATATTAAAACAGAAGTCATGAATTGACTTAATGTGTGATTTTTTTTAAAAATGAACTATTACTAGAAAGTCATGTTACATTAACTCTCTTATAATCATATCATTATTATATCTAATGAAAAATCATATCTATAATAACAAATATACGTTTAACAATTTGGTTTTGGTAAATTACCCCACACCTTTCAACTTAGTCACGCAAAATATGTCAATAGATATAAGTTTAGGAATCTTCTATTATTTATAAGGAAACATGTCAATAATAGTTAAATGTATCTACAATATATTAACAAGAATCACAGATACGTAATATGGAATATTTCTATACCCTAACAAAATTTACACACTATATATACTAGATAAATTTATTTCGATGTAAATTTTTAAAATTATATTGTTTTTAAAAAAAGAATTTTTTTTAAAATTCCATTTTGATAAATTTTTTATAATATTAATTTATGAAGCTATAAGTTTAGTTTTTAGCAAAAAAAATTTCCAAGTTTATATTATCTTTCCAAATTAAAGTATACTAATATTTAATTAAGCTCTATTTATAGTAGTTTATCTAAAATGAAATACTATTCTAACAAACAATAAAATATAGAAGAAGAAACAAACACATGTTTGAAAAATATGTATAATATAGAAAAGTTGAAACAATCTATTTGATTAAAACACGTATTATATAATATTATTATGTTTGAAAAATATTTACTATACATATCGTAAATATGTGATTACTATAATATATACCAATTTACAAGTGAAAACAAAATGTTTATATAACTAACTATAAACGAAAATAAACAACCGCACGGTTGCGCGGGTTAAAATCTAGTTAAAATATAAAGAGTATGTACCAATCCCGATATTGATTTGCTTTGTTGCTTCGCCGTCGAGTTTTAAGAGTCCACCGCCGTAGAAGATCGGCTCTTCTTACATATACTCCGTCGAATCGCTGTCGGAATTCTCCATCCCCTCCGATCAGATCCAGAGACGTCTGTCCGGTGAAATTTTCGATTCCGATTTTGAATCAATTCCTCCCTTAAAACACAAACCCTAGATAAGCCAATCGACGGTGAGAAATGACCAGCGGAGCCGACGAGGACGCAGACGCCGTCCTCAGCGACGTCGAATCCGACGAACCCTCCCCCGTCGTCCTAAACGACCCGCCTCGCGAAGAGGCACAAGACGAGCGGCTAAAGGAGCTAATCGCTGAGCTGGATCGCGAGAAGAAGGCACGAGAAGCCGCCGAGAGTGTTAAATCGGATCTCCAAGCTTCCTTCAACCGTCTCAAGGCTCTTGCTCACGAGGCGATCAAGAAGCGCGACGAGTCCAAGAGGGAGCGAGACGAGGCCCTGAAGGAGAAGGAGAATCTATCGAAGGAGTTAGAGAGTTTGAGTAAAGGTAAAGATGAGGCTTTTAAGAAGCTTGAGGAGGTTGTGAGGGATAGAGATGGTTTGAAAGTGGAGATTGAGACTTCGTCTCATATGTTGGTGTCTGGGATTGAGAAGATATCTGGTAAAGTTAGTAACTTTAAGAATTTTTCTAGTGGTGGTCTTCCCAAGTCTCAGAAGTATACTGGTTTGGCTTCTGTTGCTTATGGGGTTATTAAACGTACGCATGAGATCGTGGAGGAGCTTGTTAAGCAGATAGATGTGGCTGTTAAGTCGAGGAATGAAGCTAGGGAGCAGATGGACCAGCGGAATTATGAGATAGCTATTGAAGTTTCTCAATTGGAATCGACGATTAGTAATTTGAGGTTGGAGGTTGCAGAGAAGGCTTCACGTGTTGATGATTTGGAGAGTGATGTGAGTGAGAAGAACAAAAGGATTGGTGAGCTTGAGAAAGATAATTTGGAGAAGGTAAGTGTGCTTGAAGGTGAAGTTGTGGAGCTGAAGCAGTTGGTTGATGAGTATGATGGGAAGTTGAAGGGTATGGAAGTGAAGATGGTAGCTCAGCGTCCTTTGTTGATGGATCAGCTGAGTCTTGTGTCGAAGATCCATGACCAGCTTAATGAGGTTGTGAAGATAGTTGACGGAAATAGTTCAGAACAGTCTGAGTCTTTTTTTATGCCTCAAGAGACGGATATGGAGGAGAACATTCGAGCTTCTTTAGCAGGTATGGAATCCATCTTGGAACTTACCAATGTGGTTTCTGGGAAAACACAAAGTTTGGTGGAAGAGAAGAGCCATGAACTGAAGAAGTTGAATGAAACTGTTGGTCTATTAATGAAAGAGAAGGAACATATTGGTACTTTACTTAGGAGCGCTTTGTCCAAAAGAATGGTAACGGATCAGTCATCCCAGAAAAGCGAAATGTTTCAAGCTGCAGAGAATGGTTTGAGGGATGTTGGTATTCATTTCAAATCCACCCAACATTTAAAGGATGGGAAGGTTCAGGACTCTCTTGGTGAAAATAGTGATGATCATAGTACAGAAGAGAATGAAATATATTCCCTGGTGAGTGTTTTATCTACCCCAGTTATGTTTTATGAGCTTCATTTATTCGGGTTATGATGTCTCCACATGGGAATACAGGCAAGTACATTGGAGAACATTGTCAAGGCATCTCAGCTCAAGATTGTTGAGCTGCAGCATTCATTGGAGGAATCAAGGTAAAGCTCTCTAAAACGAACCTCCTTGTTGATGTCTATAATTTTGATAGAGGGTATTCACTTAGTTTTAACTAGGAAAATAATTCTTAGGTTTACCTCATTACATCGTGTGGCCTAGGAACCATGGATAGGTATCATTATCTGATCAAATCCATAAAGTAGGAATAAAATTCACACAGTTTTCTATTGGAAACACTAACTTCCACATGTGCATCCGAGATCTTATTCTTACTTGATCTTTGATGAAAGTCCGTGGAAGTAACTATTTGAAATGCATCTATGTAATTTCTGGAGTAATGCATTTTTTTTTAAAAAAATATGATACTCGTAGTTGTCCACTTCACTATAGTTTTCTGTCCACTGTGACCCTTTGCTTGCTTTTGTTGGCGCAATTTACGTGGACCGTTTCTTTGTTGTATAAATCAACCAGGGAAGAGACTAGTTCTCTGAGGAAACAATTAAACTCTCAGACCAAGGAGCTTAGCCAGAGAATGCGCCAAATAGAAGAACTAAAAGAAAAGGAGAGAATAGCGAATGAAAATGTGAGTGAATTTCTGCTCACTGGAGCTGTGAAATCGATTGTTTTGTTCGTAATTTAATGTATGACTGAATTATAATACGATGTCCCGAGAATTTGAGTTTGTTTGAACTTTGATTCCCGATGATGCTTAGGTTGAAGGGCTTATGACTGACATTGCTGCTGCTGAAGAAGAAATAGCGAGATGGAAAGTAGCAGCCGAGCAGGAGGCTGCTGCTGGTGGAGCTGTTGAGCAAGACTTCACGTCACAGGTGCGTAATAAGTCCTCGTGTTAGTCTAGTGCTGGAGCATTGTAATTACCCTAAGTCGTTTGTACTTTGTAGTAGATTATGACAGTGTTGACAGCTCAGCGACTGATAATTGAGTCGGTTAGCTAGAGAGCTAACAAGTGAAAATGAAGTTTAGGAGAACGAGTTAAGGTCTTAAGGATTGTATATGGTTTGGGATTTGTTATTTGAGCAGATAGTAAAGATTTCTCATTAATCAAGTCTGTCTATGGTGTGAAGTGAATAAAGGAGTTCGACTGGTTTTGGATCCTATATATGTGATCTTTTCTGTTTTCAGGCACACGCTAAGAATGATGGTCTAACTCGTATTGTCTTTGTTTGTTCAGCTGCATGTGCTTAAAGAAGAACTTGAAGAGGCAAAGCAAGCGATTAAAGAATCAGAGAAGAAACTAAAGTTTAAGGAAGAGACGGCAGCAGCAGCCATGGGTGCAAGGGATGCAGCAGAGAGATCTCTGAGACTCGCAGACAATAGGGCAACTAGGTTGAGGGAAAGAATACAGGAGCTGAATCGTAAAATTGAAGAATTAGAAACCCATCGAGATATGAATACTTCAAACAGAGCTAGGTATGCGTGTTGGCCATGGCAACTTCTCGGGATTGATTTTGTGGGAGGTCGAAGAATCGAGTCGGAACAAGAACAGAGTTCCAACGAGATGGAACTCGCTGAACCTCTCCTATGAGAAAACCAGTATTTAATACAGTTACTCTTTGTATTTGTTTTGATTTTTATGTATATACCCAGCTGATGAAGTTTGAAAGCTTGAACATGTTTTGTTTCTTGTTGTAATGTTTTACTGAAGGAGTTAATCTTGCTTGGTGAAAAACAGGGTGTTCACACACCCACAGTGATCAATAAATTCCTTTTTCTTCAAACCTTAGTGTGTACTGGACTTTATACGATTGATATGTAGAGTCATAATTAGCAGCCAAGTCTCGCATACGATCCTGTCTTAGTCCTTGCAGCATTTTTCGTATGTAGTTTTGTTAAAAAATCCACTTGTTTGGTTAATGCAGATCAAACGGTATGTGATAGTGAAAAACTTACCATGAAGTTGAACAACTGTGCAAAAAACGGTGATACAAATAAAAGGATGGGAAATGTAAATTTTAGTTAAATTATTACCGTATGATACACATAAATGAGAACATCATTGTTAGGTCTGGGCATTTTACCCGGACCCGAAGACACGAACCGGAACCGACCCGAAAATACCCGAGCCGAACCTGACCCGGAAATTTACAAGTATCTATTGGGTCTAAAATTCTTTTATCCGAATAGATCCGGACCCGAAAAGAACCGACTCGAATAGACCCGATCCGAAAAGAACCGACCCGAATAGACCCGACCCGATAAGAACCGATTTGTACCCGACTTATAAACATGTATATCCAAAACTATTATTTTTGTGTTATGTTTTATATATCTATACTATTTTATAATTTAGTTGAAATATATTTTGTTAACAATATTTATTATTATTTGTAACATTTTTAAGGAATATAAAGTTTTAAAATGTAAAATTTAGAGTTTAAAAATGTTTTCTTTAATTATTAATAGTTTAAATTAAGTTATTTTATAAAATTCTAGATATATATGAAAAATATTTTCTGAATTTGAGTGAATTTGAGCATGTTATATATATTTTAGATTCTAAATACCCTGACCTGATCCGGACCCGATATGGATCCAAAAACTATAGGTATTTTATAGGTATTGAAATTATAGACCCGAACCGACCAGGACCCGACAAGACCCGACCCGGACTTAACCCGAAAAATCATAGGTACCCATATAGGTTTAAATTTCCAAGACCCGAAAGATCCAGACCCGACCGAACCCGACCCGAAGACCCGGATGCCCAAGCCTAATCATTGTTGTGAATTAAGTTTTATTTTATTAATTATTGACATGTCATTAAAGAACCATAAAATTTGTTTATTTTAATGTTTAATTTGCAGCAATAGAAAAACAAATATTTATTGGTTTTACCTATGTTACAAGAAATCAAAATCGGAACAGTATAGAGGTATAAAAGTGAGATTTCGTCTTTTCTTTTTTTTTTTTAAATTAAGAAATAGAGACGTGTTGAAAACATATATCCAATATATATAATATATATACATTAAAATATTAAATATTATAAATATATGACTAAAAATTATATGATTCAAATTAAAATAAAGCATTTATTCATTTATACTAAAATTAAATGATTTCATATTATAATTTTGAAAATATAAATAAAGTCAATTTATAAAATTTATTATCAAATTAATTATTTTAAATATTTAATAAATAACAGACACGATATAGTTGAATATGCATGATCTATCTCTAATAAACAAATCTAGTGCATAATGATAATTTATAATATTTTCATTTATATGTTTTCTCTTTGTAAATACTTTTAAATTCGAGTAGTTCAAAAGTCATATATCAAGCTTATTTAGCACGTAATACTAATATATATATATATATATATATATATATATATATATATATAATATCACATTTATTATTTGACATTTACAAAGAAGTAATGGCATTGTGTAAATGTTGTATTTTTTTTTGTTACAAACGTTTCTACTAGTTTTCACTGCTAGGTTGGACGGAAGTTTCGTCAAACGTTTGTTTCCTGCTTCAAAACCAGAATCGAAACCTTGTAAAGTTTACGAAATCTCATTTCTAAAATTCTTCTATAATATCACCTTGTAAACCCGGTTAGTCAAATTCGACTACCATTTAATTTTTTAAAACATAATAAGTGTGCACAAAAAAAAACATAATGGATGCACATGATTTTCTATTTTATTTATTTATGATATTGTATTTTTTAAATAAAAACGTGATTTCAAAATAGAAATTTTAAGTTTCCAATGTATTTTTAAATGTGATATTATAGAAGCATTTTAGAAATGAGATTTCGTAAACTTTACAAGGTTTCGATTCTGGTTTTGAAGCAGGAAACAAACGTTTGACGAAACTTCCGTCCAACCTAGCAGTGAAAACTAGTAGAAACGTTTGTAACCAAAAAAAATACAACAATTACACAATGCCATTACTTCTTTGTAAATGTCAAATAATAAATGTGATATTATATATATATATTAGTATTACGTGCTAAATAAGCTTGATATATGACTTTTGAACTACTCGAAGTTTAAAGAGGAGCTTTAAAGTTATTACTTCTTGATCTTCTTCTTGTATGGTTCGGTTAAGTGTCAATTATTCATTAAAAGTCTGCCAAAAAGGGAAAATACTTCCCCCATATGATGACTAAGTACCAAATCAAATCCAAATAATAGAAATATTCCAAAATTTTCAGAAACCATTTCGGTCTCCATTTCCATAAGCTAAATCAGTAACCATATCACAGAAATCTGATAATTTTTGAAAATAAACTATCAACTGAATGTTATTTTATTATTTTATGGGACCAAACCAAAACCCACTTATGTCCTGAAAGTCAAGGATCTCCAAAAGCGCAATCACTGGATGCTCTACTGATTTAGCTATATCATGGACTCATGATTTGATTGTATTATTCTCTGTTTGTTTACAAATGTGTTTTTTTTTTTGTTAAGCCAGTGCCGTTTGATTTAACATCATAAGCAACATCTCTTATCCAACGTGAAAGGAGTCTTTGATTAGATAAATTCTTATATTAAGCACATGTTTGATTGCATCGCTCGAGTAATTAGAATCAACAGTTGTAATTTAAAAAGCGTAACTATGGGAATCTTGTCACGCAGGTAAGAAAACCTCTTTGTCTAGTTTCTTTTCTTCTTCTCTTTGTAGATGCACAGAAAGCTTTGGACCTGATTATAATTGTTGTTAGTGCAGCCCAAACTATAGTAGAAGATTAGAAGATAATGGCATGAAGCTTCTTGCAACTGCTTTGTTTTCTGTGACTTTTGGCATTCTACTTGGACTATCATTTCCATCTTTGTGGATCACTAAGGTTAGTCTTCTTTCTCTTCAATCTTTTCTTCTTCTTAGATTTTTCTTCATCTCTTGCCATGTTGTATTATGAAGGCGAGTCTACCACAAAAACTTCCTTGTTCCATTGCTATCTCAAATCGATATTCAGATATTGCAGTTCCTGTACAAGCCACTGATATCTCAAAGGTATGTTTTATGTAACTGTTTAGAAATTAGGCACATTTTTGTGCATATTTTAAGAACAATGTGATTCACATTTTGCTCAGATATGGGTTCCTTCAAATCCAAAAGGAGCTGAGAGATTACCACCCGGTATTATTGCATCCGAGTCAGACTTGTATTTGCGCAGGTTATGGGGGAACTCTGAAGAGGTTTGTTTCTCAAGCACACATACTCATTCTTAGATTTTACAGTTCTTGTATGAGATCAGTGACACTAACTTTTTATCTTCTTCTCTGTTTCTTCAGGAATTGAAGAAGAACCCGAGATATCTGGTAACATTTACTGTGGGTTATAAACAGAGACAAAACATAGATGCATGTGTTAAGAAGGTTGCTTAATGTCCTTTTTGTTTTCTGTTTTTATTTTAATAGTAAACCCATTTATGTTTTGTCTTCCTAAAAACAGTTTTCAGACAACTTTACCATTGTGCTGTTTCATTACGATGGAATAACAAGTGAGTGGGATGATGAATTTGAGTGGTCGGAGAATGTAATACACATAAGTGTTAAGAAGCAGACAAAATGGTATCAATAGCTTTGCTTATGCCTCTCTATCTTTTGCCCCTAGTTATATGATTGTATGAGTTTCTTGACTCTCATATATATTTATATTTGTTTTCTTGAACACATCTTGACTCTCATATATATTATATATATTGTGAATATATAAGGTGGTACGCAAAGAGATTCTTGCACCCTGACATTGTAGCGCGATATGATTACATATTCATGTGGGATGAAGATCTTGGTGTCGATCACTTTGACGCAGAAGAGTGAGTTTTTATTTCACACTCGCTTCCATTTTCTTTTATCTTAATTAATATATATAAGTTTGTTGTTGCAGATACATACACATGGTAAAGAAGCATGGCCTTGAGATATCACAACCTGCTTTGGACCCAGAGAAAGTGTGTACATGGCAAATCACTAAAAGACGAGAGCATGTCGAAGTCCATAATAAGTATGTATACAACTTCCTATCTTACATGATTTTGGTTCCATTAAATTTATATATATGGCTCTGAAATCAGGGAAACAAATGAGAAACTCGGGTGGTGCTCGAATCCAAATCAGCCTCCATGTGCTGCGTATGTTAAAAAATCTCTTTATCAAACTCATTGTTCACATCTTCTCATATTTAACTTTGTTTTTTTTTTTGTAACACAACAGATTTGTGGAGATAATGGCTCCTGTATTCTCAAGAAATGCGTGGCGCTGCCTGTGGCATATGATTCAGGTTACACTTACCTTGTCTCTTCTGTTTTTAACTCTTTTTCCCTAACTCTTGCTTACACCTTATTATGAACCCCAATAACAGAACGATTTGGTTCACGGTTGGGGTCTTGACTTTGCACTCAGAAGATGTGTTCAGGTACACAAAACATTACATGTTTTTTTAAGCGTTATAGAAATGTCTTTTTTTTTTATGTGTTTGTTAATCGATTAATGAAGAGGCTTCCATATATTTACATGTGAAAATGAAGGAGCCTGCTTATGAGAAGATAGGAATAGTAGACACTCAGTGGATCGTTCATCAATTTATACCTTCCCTTGGCAGTCAGGGAAAGGAAGAAGATGGGAAATCGCCATTGCAAGGGGTAAGAAAAGCTTGGTCTTGCCTTTTTTCTTCATGTACTTAAAAAAAAAGACAAACAAGTAATTAGATGTCTCAATATGTTTTTAAAATGTGTGTGTTTGTTGTTCATGT